ACGGGCTGAATGAAAAGAAATAGAACAGATTCCTCCACCAACGCTCGGGTATTTGTCAGAATACCCGAACAGAGCAGGCAGATCATTGGCTGCTAACTTTGTTCATTTCGAAGATTTTCTGACCAGGTCCTTCGATCAGCTGACAGTGCGGATTTCGAACCTGTATGGCAAGCTTTAGACTGTTGTCCAGCGACTTGGAAAATCTCTGCACAGGGTAAGGCTGTGAGTATACCGGTAATATCATCCCACCAGGAGCTTAACTGAAGTGTAGGCTACAGAAAGGTCAAGGACCAGCTTCCTTTTTGGTAGAGGTGCCTGGATCAAAAGACTGACTTAACAAAATTGCAGGAGTTAAGCCTTAACTTCTTCTTTCATCTATTCACATATTAGCTATTGAAGTTGCTAAGAAAATGATCTGGCAATTGTTTGACAACCACTTTAATTTACTGTCTTTTCAGCTAATCAATGAGCACCTTTTTTTCCTTCCAGGCAGCTCTGAAGTTTGTAAAGCAGCTAGGAATGTAATGTCGTCTTTAACTATGTAAAACTCAGGATGTCTTTGACTACCATTAAAGCATTGACTTTTCGGCATGACCCACTTACGATTTATACTTCAGATTTTATATCTGTGCCTAGCCATTATTCTTTTATAATTATTTACAATAAGGTAAGAATTTTTCTATTCCTCCTTTGCTGTAATTTTTAACCTTAGTGTATTTGTTCTTTTAAGCAAGCATCCATAATTGAGTCTGTGATTCTACATATTTGTCAATGTATTCCTTGTATTTTGCATGCATTGTATCTTAGTTATCATTTGTTGTTTGGTTGGTTTTTAGTTCCCTAGGTATCCTGCCTGGGTCATTTGTCTGTTCTGATTATCAATCTGTATGAGCATCTGTTATCTGCACTTTGACTGACTGCCCTACTTATTTCTAGTGTACTCATGTACACTACTTCTGTAGTTTTTGTCTGGTGTACCATGTCTCATTACTTTTGCTTTTTTGGATTATTGTGGCTTTAGTAAGGAACATCCTGTCCCAGCTTTTACTATTCCCATGAAATGTTATAGTTATAGCTGATACTGTATTGATATGCAGCAGTCCTAGTTTAGAATAATTGTATTAAAGCAAATTTTTTATTCCACCTTTTCCAAATTAAAACATTTACAAAACATGTCCTTAGCGCCATCAGTGTTCATTAGTGTTGAAGAAAAAACAATCAGATCAGCTGATTTTAATGGAGTGAATAGGGATGAAAATGCAGTTTTCCTAATGTTTTGGAGCTGAAAGAAGTGTCACAAAAATAGCACATAATTTAACTCCTTGGTGCCAGCTCCCACTGGCCCTTTAGGGTCTTTAGAACAATGGGAGGTGGAGGCAGGCTTCCTGATCATGTGATCAATGTGATTGGCTGTAATAGTGGTCACAGGATCATAAGCCTGTTTCACTGGTTCCCAATAGTAAACAGTAACCAGGAGCTGTCATAACAGCTCAGCCACTGTGCTGGCAATATGCCAGTGAATGCGCTCTAAGTACAGAACAGTGTACCAGTTGGACGTGTTAAAGCCTGCCTGCCATGCTGGCACATATATGCATTATCTATTCAGGAAGTGGTTAAAGCATCTGGCTATTTGTGATGTGATCAAAAGAAAATGTGCATTCAGCACAAAACAATAGTGTATTAATAAACACAAAAGGTATAACGAGTATATACACATATAAATACAGTATACGAGAGGTTTTAGCTGCACAACTTTTGCAAAATACAGTATGTGAAAGCCACACTGCCTCATCAAGATTTCTCTGTGTAGTGTGGTCCTAACTCTAATCTATGACATTCGAGGCTTCCACATATTTTGCAAAAGTTGTGTTGTGTTTTTAACACAAATTGTTAGACAGTGTAATTTGTTTTCTTGCAGGTTGGTAGCTAGCTGGTAAGTGTGCTTGGAAATTTCTGTGTTTGTATTGTGGAAAGCCCTTCTATATATAATGAATTTTAACTCCAGGCAGATATATTTTCTAATTGGGCAAAGGTTGTGAGTGGGGTGCCTTAGGGTTCAGTCCTGGGACCGATCCTTTTCATCATGGGCTACAAGATGGCAAATGCAATTTAATGTTGAAAAATGTAAGGTTATGCACATGGAAGCAAAGAACGTGTGCGCAAACTATTATTGGGGGTGCTACATTAAGAAAGTCGGACATAGAAAAAGACCTGAGGGTCCTCATAGATCACATATTTGGATTAGTAAGCAATGCAAAACAGCAGCCAGCAGAGCAAATCGGATAATGACGTGTATTAATTGAGGGATCGCAGCAAGGGATAAAAAAGTAATACTATCATTTTATAAATCATTGGTTCTGCCTCATCTTGAGTATTCGGTGCAGTTTTGCTCGCCAACACTCAGGAAAGACATCCTCGGACTGGAGAGAGTTCAGTGAAGGGCTACAAAATTAATGAACCTCCTTGGCGGTATTCCCGAGTGTGGCTCGGGGTTAATTTTCAGTACCATAAGCGGTAACCCCGAGCCGCACTCGGGATTACAGCGCAGCGTCTCTTACCTTGTCCACGATCCCCGCTGTGTCCTCCAGCATCCGTCTTCCGGGTTCCGTCCCTTCCGAGCGTCCGCGTCGCAAGGGGGTGGAACCAGCAGGAATTTAAAAAGGAAAAAAAATAGAACAAAAAAGGAAAAAAAAAATAATAATCAGACCGCCAGGGAGGTTAAAGGGATAGAAGGCCTAAATTATGAGGACCGACTTCAACTATTTTTTATTATTATTATTTTTTCTCTTTTATTTTTTTTACAGTGGGGGGGGGGGCTTCTGGGAAATATCAGGGGTCTAAACAAACCCCTAACATTTCCCTTTTGAAATAGAAAAAGAAATTGAGGACACAGTGTCCTCAATTGTGAGGAGAGAGAGCCGCTGTCTGTCGGATTCTGGTCGAGCATCTCTCTCTCTCTATCTCTCTCCTCATCGCTCGGCCACCCTGGATGACAGCTCCCTCCTCCGCCCCCCATCGGCTTCAGCGCTCCATTTCTCCTTGGATCCCTGCTGCTGCTTTCCCCTGCCTATATCCGAAGAGAAGCTGCAGGCTGTGCCACTCCACTACTCCCTGCCGCCCTGTATTGGCCGCCTGGCGCCCAAGTTGTCATAGGCGCCCTGTGCTCGCCTGGCTGCGCCCCCTCACAGCTGCACCCAAGCCGAATGCCTCACTCACCTCGTCCTTCCTATGGCCCTGGTTATTCACAAAAGGGTGAAGAGTTTGGAGAAGGCAGGAGAAGAGAAAAATCTAGTCCTAGATTGTTCACTTCTCCTGCCTTCTCCAAACTCTTCACCCTTTTGTGAATAACCCTGTTAGTCTACCTGGCTTACTCAGCAGAGCAGTGAAAAGAGATCCTTAGCAACCAATCAGTAGTAATCTCTTTAATTATTTCCTACACTAAAGTGAATTCTGATTAGCTGCTATCGGTTGTTACACATTATCATTCCAGTTTATTGACTAAGGTGTAAACACCATTTGGTACATGGTATATGAAGAAGACCAAAATCAGTACTTTAGTAGGAATGATGGCATGTTCAACGTTTATAGTTAAACAATCTATTACATTATTTATGCAATGTTATAAACAGAGCAATAGCAAATAGATCTTGCGTCATAAACAGCATTTGACATTGTTGCCAAAGCACACTGTGAGGTCTATTCACTAAGCTGCCGTAGGCAGCCGAGTGACTAAACGACCCGAAGTGAAGTGAGCCGAACGCTGTTCGGCTATTCACTTCAGGCTGGTACGGCTGATTTCAGCCGTATATCGGCTGAAATCAGCCGTACATCGGGTGGCTTTGGGTCGGCCGAACATGCCCAGCATGTTCG